GCTGCGGCCGGCACACCACGCTGATCCAATGGCAGGAGCCAGGTGCTTCTCCTGGTCTCCCATGGGGTGCAGGGCCCAAGCACTTGGGCCATCCTCCACTGCACTCCCTGGCCACAGCAGAGAGCTGGCCTGGAAGAGGGGCAACCGGGACAGAATCCAGCACCCCGACCGGGACTAGAACCCAGTGTGCCGGCGCCGCTAGGCGGAGGATTAGCCTGTTGAGCCACGGCGCCGGACAGAACATGCTCTTAACAGTCATCTTCCGGGTATAATTATGCTGTCACTTTTAGATGACAATCTCCTTCAACTCAAATTTTATTTTTACTCTAGTGTAAGTTTTAATGTTAATTACATTTATTTCAAAGGCAGAACAACAGAAAAAGATCTGCCATCAATTGCACTAACTGGTTACTCTCCTAATGTTCCCAATAGCCAGGACTCTGCCAGGCCAAAGCCAGGAGCCAGGAATTCCATGAAGTTTTCCAGGACACAACTCTCGGAAGAATCATCTGCTGCCTCCCAGGAAGCTGGATCAGAAATAGAGGCAGGACTCAAACCTAGTCGCTCCAATATGGGATCCAAGTGTCCAAAACACTTAGACTGCTACACCACAAAACACACACACACACACACACACACACACGGACCCCTGGTGTAAGTTTTCTCAAGAGGCTCAGCACTTACCAAAACATGTCTATTGCAACAAAATGTTGGTAACAGCAAAAGAGAAATGAGCAAATGCACACAGCTGCCATCCTTCGGAGGATAACCATGCAGCTATGAAAAGGCATGAAATAGATTTACAGGTGCCAACACAGACGGGACCCTAGAACATATTTGTTGATTGACATGTTTTATTTGGAGTGTAAACTTCCTACTTGTAGTTACTTTGGTTTAAAGCCCAATTTGTTAGGGTTAAAAGTTACTACATTATTGCTCGTAGTGCTATTTTTTGCTCACCAACAATCGAAATCTGGAATAAAGCAATTACATTTGAATCCAGAGCATCTTAGAATCTAGTCCACTAAAGTGCTTTAGTTACTAAAAATTGTTTAATTAGTTGATTGGTTGGTTGATTGCCTAATGAAACAAGGCAGCAACTCCAAACCTCCTCCCAGCTTTTATTCTAACTGGAGAAAACTGCCCTTATTTATAAAATGATGACAGAGCCTACCTCAGACAGTACTATGATGATAAACATGAAAAATTGAGCTCTAGGCTATAAAATGTTATGTGAATTCTAGGAGCCATGCTGTCACTGGTCTTCACTGGGAAAACACTGCTTTCTACAGGGTTCATGTTTGCTCTGGGAAATCGCAGCGGGGCTATCTTGGCATGTGCATTAGAAGCCAGAGGACAGGAGGATGTGTCCAATGTGAAAATGCTCTACTGCCGAGGACAAAGGAGGTACTGGTGCCAAGGGCCAAGCCCACGTGGCAGTCATGATACAGAAGCATCGCCATAGTGACAAAAGGCTCCACGCCTGTTAGATGCTCTAAGCACACACTTGGTGTTTGACCCTCACAACCACAGACTCTTGAAGCAACCGAGACCTCCAGGGAGGTCCAGCTCCCTCACCGCCCTCTTTGCTCATGCCTGGTGGGCTTCTAATGGTCGCTGGCTACCCTTGGCCTTCCTCGGTTTATAGATGCCTTAACTTCAGTCTCTGCCATCTCCATGTTGTCTTTTCTGTTTCTCTTCTTCGGTCTACCTCTTCTTTTACGAGGACATCTGTCATTGGACTTAGCCCCCCACCCACCAGATAATCCAAGAGGATCTCATCTTGGGATCCTTAACCTCATTGCAGTGGTCTCTCCTTACGCACTGGGGCTGCATTTGGAGACTGCTAGCAGATTCCTGAAACTCTGGAGACTACTACCTCCTATATATAAACTTCCCCCATACACATCACATACTACAATAAAGTTTAATCGACAAGCGAGACAAAGAGATTGACTAAAATAGAAAAATGCTAATGATATATAAATTTGGTATCTCCCAAAATATCTCATTGGACTAGGCTTACCCCTGACCATGAGTAATGGAACATAGATACAGATGCTTTGACCAAATAAGGTCACATGAGTTCTGGGTAGACCCATCTTTTGGGTAGGGGGCATTCTACCTGCTACTGCTTCTTCATGCGACTTCAGCTTTGCAAGCAGGCTACTAGAACAGAAAATAAATAAAGCAGAAGTAAAACCTAAACATAGAAAATGTCATTTTCCTGGGCAGTTTCGAGCCAACAGATGTAAGTGGTTTGTGGTAGCCTTTCATCAAAAAGTGACCAGAGTTGAGAGAATCTCACTGCAACATTTACCAGACACTGATCAACCAACAATATCACTCCCCCAGTTTCTCTTCATAGAATTTAGTTTCAGAAAACAAATATTATCCATTGTAGAGTGCAGACATCCATAATTACTTGAGAGATAAATGAATAAGCAACTTAACAGCTTGAGGTGCTACCTACACTAAGTTTAGATTCTGTTTCCAGTAAAAGTTAGATTCTGTTTCCAGGAAGCTAAATACATGAGTGAATCCACTTCTTAAAAACAATGAACAAAATTCTAGAAGAGTTCATGAACTGTCAAGAAAGAAATTCTGAAACGGGGGATCGAGTGAAGACGGCGATAGGCAGGGGGGCCAAGAGCGCTCATAGCCAGCCCTGGCTGGCCAGGGACATGGGGCAGGCCATAGAGCACAGGCCAGAACAGCCCAGAACTTTCCCAAGTTGAGGAATCTCATTGGGGAGATCTCCCACTAAGAAGCTGAGATCACTATGGGTTAAGCCATCAGCTTAGGAGAAAACAAGAAATAAACCCATACAAGTACTAATTCTTTACTCCTAATCTGTCTCCATTCACTCCCAGCTCCAGAGAATATAAAAAATCTATTCATTCAAATGTTAGTGCTAAGTAAGAAGGGGAAAAAAAAAAAAACCTGGAACTTGACCTTTGTGCATTTATGGAACCTGAATTCACATTCCCTGGAAGAAATGAAGAACTCACTTGCTGAATATTCAATTTACACAGAGCCTAGGATAGTAGTTCTCATAAACCTGGAAGAAGCAGATGAAATTCCTCTCTGTGGGACTCCATTCTTATTCCAGTTAAAGAGACTTTCTCCAAGTACAATTACAAAGCACTGAGCAGCTCATAGTACAACAAATCCAAACAGCTAAGGAAACACGAATAAGAACCCGCAAAGCAACAGGCTGAATAGAGACTCACAATATGATTTACTCAAGTCTACATGCCTGTGACAGAAGGTATGTGTTTATTTACTTAGACTTAAAAGATATGAGATGGGGGCTGGTGCAGTGGCGCACTAGGCTAATCCTCCGCCTGCGGTGGCGGCATCCCATATGGGCGCAGGGTTCTGTCCCAGTTGCTCCTCTTCCTGTCCAGCTCTCTGCTGTGGCCCAAGTGCTTGGGCCCTGCACTCACATGGGAGACCAGGAGGAAGCACCTGGCTCCTGGCTTCGGATCAGCATAGCTCCGGCCGTAGTGGCCATTTGGGGGGTGAACCAACAGAAGGCAGACCTTTCTCTCTGTCTCTCTCTCACTGTCTGAAACTTGTCAAATTAATTAATTAAATTAATTTAAAAAGATATGAGAAAGCAGAGGTAGGAAAACTTCCAACCAACAGAAAGCTGATATAACCACATTAACAACAGAGAAAACATTTTGGACTACGAATATTGCCAGAGATAAGGGGAGTTGTTTCTTAGAAGATTTCACTCCTCATAGACTCCACTAATTTTACACTTGATCTTAGCCAAAAGGCTGAGAAGCCCTATCTACTAATTTTAAGTTTATATGCACTAATAATATTCTCAGGGTACATCGATAAAACCTTAAGGAAAATTTACAATCATAGTAGACTTTAACCTACTTCTTTCAGTAACTGACAATAGGTCATCAGTAAGTGAATTTGAATATCAGTTAACAAACTTTACCTAATGGAGATATACAGCGTGCATGTCATTCAGTTATAGGATACATTTTCCTGCAGTAATGGTTGCAATAACTGATCATATAATAGGCTGAACCTCAAGATGACAAAGTGAACATTTTCCAATTTTATACAGTGCTGCAGATCTCTGTAGAGTCTGCTGGTAACCTACTAGGTTCAAGAGCTGTGGAAGGCTAGAATTTACCGTACCCAGCTGTATGTTGGTACTCGTCACCCAACCTCTCTCTATTCCTTCATCCCAAACCCTTCTCAGCCTCCAGTCAGCACTACTGTAAGTTCACACCAACCTTCTGTAACTTCCACATGAGCGAGAACACGTGGTATTTGTCTTTCCAAGTCTGGCTTATTTCACTTAGCATGACAACCTTCAGTCCACCAGGTTTGCTGTAAAAGAATTTCATTCTTTGTATGGCTAAATCAGAATCGTGTATGTGTCACATTTCCTTTCTCCACTCACCTATCAACGATCACTTAGACTGCGTCTGTATCTCAGCTCTTTTTTTTTTTTTTTTTTTTTTTTTTTTTTACAGGCAGAGTGGACAGTGAGAGGAGAGAGAGAGACAGAGAGAAAGGTCTTCCTTTGCCGTTGGTTCACCCCCCAGTGGCCGCTGCGGCCGGTGCACTGCGGCCGGCACATGGCACTGATCCGAAGCCAGGAGCCAGGTGCTTCTCCTGGTCTCCCATGCAGGCGCAGGGCCCAAGCACTCGGGCCATCCTCCACTGCACTCCCTGGCCACAGCAGAGAGCTGGATTGGAAGAGGAGCAACTGGGACAGAATCCGGCGCACCGACTGGGACTAGAACCCGGTGTGCCGGCGCCACAGGTGGAGGATTAACCTATTGAGCCGTGGCGCCAGCCTGTGTATCTCAGCTATTGTGAGTCTATCGTAAATAGAACTACAGTGCACATGGGAGTGCTGATAATCCTATGATGTGCTGATTTACATTGTTTCATTTCCATTTCATACCCAGAAGTGGGTTGGCTGGGTCACATGGATCTAACCTTAATGTTCTCCGCAACGGCTTTGTGGATCTGCATTCCCACCAACAGTGAGTATAAGGTTCTCCTTTTTTCTGGGCTTCAGTTCCTCCAGTTGGAAACGGCATCTAAAAACCACAACCTGGGTATTAATGCTATAATCACTTTTTTATAAAAGATTTATTTACTTATTTAAAAGAATTACATAGAGAAAAGAAGAGACAGAGCAAGAGAGAGAGATCCTCCATCTGTTAGTTTATGCCCCAGATGGCCACAATAGCCAGAGTTGAGCCAAACAAAGTCAGGAGCTTCCTCCAGGTCTCCCATGTGGTGCAGGGGCCCAAGCACTTGGGCCCTCTTCTGCTGCTTCCCCAGGCCATTAGCAGGGCACTGGACCAGAGGTAGAGCAGCCAGGACACATACTGGCACCCATATGGGATGAGGGCGTCACAGGTGGCAGTTTAACTGACTAACGCCACAACACCAGCCCCGGTAATACCACCCTTAAAATGTGTCAACTTGCTCATCTTTTTCAGGTGCTATAAAGTTTTTCTGAAGACCGTATATGAAAAGCTGCAGGAGCTGATCCTGCTCCTGATTGGAGGAGAGCAGCGTGCTCGGCGTGTGGGTAGCAGAGTTGGGATTGGTGGAAGAGGACTATAAAGGAGGAGAGAGACAACATGCACCAGGAACATCCGGATAACATCTGAGCAGCCCCCGAGAGAGCCGGCCGGCGGTGTGCCGCTCCTCCATGGAAGTGGGGAAAGTGGCAGGGGGAGCTGCCCCTCCACGGAGGTGGAGGGGTCGGCAGCCAACCCGGGAAGGACCAGCAGCAAACCCGGGAAGGGCCGAGCAGACAAAAGAACAGTGCAGGGTCCAGTGTCGTTCCTCCGCGAGATGGGGGAGCAACACGTATACAGTCCTAGAAACACTGAATTACTTACAAATTCATGAATAAGGTCTCTTGCTTCTTACAATTGCTATGTGGCTGTGTCCTTTCTGAAGCTAGGAGTCTAGAAACCATACCCTCTTCTTCATCACACCCAGCCCAGAGTTTGTAGCATGCTAGGTACTCACACTGTATTCACTGAGGGGGGAGGGGGGACGGATAATCAGGCTTTAGATGCTGGAAGAAATGACCAAACCTGGGTTTCAGGAATATGAGGGAAAATGGCAGCAAAATTAGGTGACTCAGTGGCCTCTGAGGTCTCCACGTTGTCTTGCTTGTTTAAATTCACGCATGTTTGTTGTACATGCATTTATGTTGCACATTTATTGTAACAGAAGCATTTGTGTGCAAAGGAACAAGTCTTAATTTTTGCTTTAGGTCATGCTCTCTTGGGCATTTCTAACTAAGCCATCAAACAGATAGCCTAGGGCAAGAAAGGTCTGGAGGGGAAGAGACTGCCATGTGGATGTTGTGCCCAGAGCAGTGGGGAGCCAGGCCCTCCTGCTGAGGAAGGGCTTGGTGATGAAGGTTGGTGAGGTGGGGGAAGTGCATGGAGGGAGCCTGAAGCTATAGACTGGCTCCCCGGACAGCAGGGAGCCTTTGAGTGGGAGGATTTGAAATGCAGGAAGAGGAGTTTAGGAAAAGGTGGACTTCGTGGTGGAAGTGGGTCTGGCTCCTGTCCAGGGGCAGGGAAAGGAGGGCCGAGATCGCTGGAGGACTCCCACCGGCTCCCGGTCAAGCTCTCTCCTAAGTTCACTCATGTAACATTCCCTTGGTCTTTCTCCAGCTGCTTCTTTACTGTCTTCCACCCCTCTTCCCAAGTCAACAGTTTCTTTCTCTAGTAGCCCTTACTTGGCCATAGCTTGCAATATGGGAGTGAAATTTCATGGTTACAATGGCAAATATCCAACTCTGGCTACCAACTGCACAAGATGGGTTATTGTAAGGACATTGGGAACCCCAGGAATCAACAGGAAAGCTGGGAGAAAGGGCCTTAGAACAGTGCCAAGGGCTAAGAAAGCAGGAGCTGGGATGCTAACGGGGATGCTAACAGCCTGGTGGGGGCTGTTGCTGCTGGGTATAAACCATCAAAACCCTAAGAGCCTCGCTCTGCCCAACCGCAGGCAGCAGTGGCTTCTTAGTGAAGGGCAGACCCTGGATCTCCCCTCCCACCACAGCCTCCTGCCATCGGGGAGAGGATGCAGAAATTAACAATGCTGTTAGGAGAGAATGAATGCTGAGCAGCCAAAAATAAGAATTTTTTTTTTTACTCTAAGACTTTGAGTTATTACTATCACCATTTCCTACCCATTCAAATCCTGTGTTTTCTTTAGAGTTTTTGAAGTTGATACGCTGCTTCTTAAGAAATTTTTAAAGTTACAGATTTGTGTGTCTTGGTTTGGCTTCTTCTCCTATGAGTCAGTGACTTTAGAAACACGAAACTCCTCACCCCTGGGTGAAGGACAAGAGTATACACTCCTCTGTTAAGATTGGCCAACTCTGAATATACGCCTCCTGTTCTTCCAGTTTCTCTACCCTAGTAGAATAATCAGTTTAAAGCCTAGCTGGTTTTTTTTCAGTGTATTATGGGAAATTTCTCAATACACAAAAGGAGTGAGAAGGGTATAATAAACCCCCTGGCACCAACAATTCACCTCTATTCACTCCCCCCTTACATGCACATACACACCTCACAAGCTGAGCGATTCCAAAGCCAACCCCAGAGATATGATTTTATTCAACAGTTTAGTATGTATCTCTAAGATATAAGGATTCTGAATATAACCAAATGAACATATTTACTAAAAATTTCTTCAGACTATATGGATTAGCTTCCTGCTAATGCACACCCTGAGAGGCAGCAGGTGATGGTATAGATTCTTGGATCCCTGCCAACTGTGTAGGAGACCTAGACTGAGTTCCAGATGCCTGGCTCAACCTGGTCCAACCCTCGCTATTGCAGACATTTGGGGGAGTGAACTAGCCAATGGAAGATCTGATATTCTTTCATGTTATTTGAAAAAACAATTTTTTAGAATATTTTCACATCACCAAGTATCTAGGCTGTCAAATTTTTATAGTTACCTCATTTCTGGATCAAATATTAAGATCCAAATGTGGTCTGGACCTTACAAATTTTTAAAGATCACCCAATAACTGTCCAGATTTCTATAGTTTTGGTTTTAACTTTCAACAGTTTTTTCATTTTAAATTTCTTTGAAAATTTAGATTTTCAGGGCCAGTGCTGTGGTGTAGTGGATAAAGCCACCACCCGCAATCCCAGCATCCCATGTGGGTGCCAGCTCACATCCCGGCTGCTCTACTTTGATCCAGCTCCCTGCCATTACGCCTGGGAAGGCAGCATAACATGGCCCAAGTGTTTGGATCCCTGCCACTCACGTGGGAGGCCCAGATGAAGCTCCTGGTTCCTGGGGCCATTTGGGGAGTGAACCAACAGGTGGAAGCTTCTTCTCTCCCCTCTGTAACTCTTTCAAATAAATAAAATCTTCTCAAAATTTATATTTTAAGCAGCTGGGAGTCCAAGTTCATCTGGCCCTGAATTTGCCATTAGTTGCAAGTGGGAAGTTCCTCAGTATCAGTCTCAGGTTAAATGGCTAATCTTGCGAATTCAGGTCAAGGAGAAAAGCCCAGACTTTGTAAAAATGCCCTTCTTATATCTTCTCTAGGAAAGGATAAAGTAGCAACTGTTATCTACAATAGGAGGTTTATTTATCATTTTTAAGATTCACTGACGTATTTGAAAGACAGAGAGAGTCAGGGAGAGAGACATAGCCTCAAATGGTCTCAATAGCCAGGGCTCGGCCAGGCCAAGACCAGGAGCCTGGAACTCCATCTGGGTTCCCCCATAGGTAGCAGGAGGTCCAAGTACTTGCACCACTTCCACTGCCTCCCAGGCACGCTTGCAGAGAGCCGATTTGGAAGTGGAACAGCTGGGACTAGAACCCATGGCTTGCATGGGATGTCAGCCTCACAGGCTGTGGCTTAACTCACTATGCCACATCACAGGCCGCGACTTAACATTGTTTATGTTAACTTCAGATTGGAACTGACCCAAATGCCCAGCATAAGGGGCTTTTGGGGCCAAATAGATGACAGTATGTTCAACTAATGAGAGACCATTCCACATTTTAAAATAATGAGGTCACTCCATATGCATAACATAAACATGAAACTATCAGAATAATGCGATCCATTTTTACCTGAAAAAAATGTGTTTCCAATATACCATAAATAAATCTGAAGTAACAAGCACAAAATCTTGGAGGGCATGTAAAAATTCCTTTTCTATTTTTAAAGAATATAAAAATGTAAATAAAAAGTTTTTCATTATAAGTATATATTAACTTCACAATGTGAAAAAAACATACTGCAACATGGAAGTATTTATAATGTAACCTTATTATAATGTATATAAATGACCCTTCCCATAATCTTTTTCCAATATCAGAAATAATTTGCAGCTAGTTCTATCAGACACTATTATTTTCAGTTAGGAAAGTGTTTGAGCCGGCGCTGCGGCTCACTAGGCTAATCCTCCACCTTGCGGCGCTGGCACACCGGGTTCTAGTCCTGGTCGGGGCGCTGGATTCTGTCCCGGTTGCCCCTCTTCCAGGCCAGCTCTCTGCTGTGGCCTGGGAAGGCAGTGAAGGATGGCCCAAGTGTTTGGGCCCTGCACCCACGGGAGACCAGGAGAAGCACCTGGCTCCTGCCACTGGATCAGTGCGGTGCGCCAGCCGCAGCACGCCGGCCACGGTGGTCATTGGAGGGTGAACCAACGGCAAAGGAAGACCTTTCTCTCTGTCTCTCTCTCTCTCACTGTCCCTCTGCCTGTCAAAAAAAAAAAGTGTTTGAAGATATAACTCAGTCTTCTATCCCAAATCATGGCAATGTTTTATCTGACAAAACCTTTTTTTCACTAATTAACTGTTGGTCTAACAGATCTCCAACCACCAGCCTTCATTTGGTGCAAAACTTATTGGTTGCATTTTGCACATAAGGAACTGATACAAGAAGTAACAAGAACCCTGCTCAGATCACAACTGGAATCCAAACTTTAGCCTCTTCCATGCCAGGATCTACAATTTCGCCTTCTTCAGCACACTGATCCTATCCTACCAAATGTATAAATAGAAAACGGGAGTGATTTGCCATTATGCAGGGC